CCCCACTGCAGTGGCAAAGGTACAAGTAATTACTCTAATTAGCCCAGAGACTTCCTTAAAAGCTCTTGCATTGTAAAACACCCTCCCATGTCAGTTGACTGAGGTCTTGTAAGCAGCAGGAGCTCGTCACTTATTCTGAGCATTAATTGACTTTGCAGGTTCTCCACAGATATATTTAGCAGGCCTAATGCAATATGACTGCATCCCTGTGGTTTTAAATAGGGGTGGGACAAAATATGGATATGGCAATATATCGTTGTCCTTCTCCGTGCAATACGAGAATCAATATGCTGGCGCCAAATATCGATATTTTAATTAATAAAATAAGGCGCTCTAAATAGATTTATTTCACTGCTCCCAGCATTGCTACTTCATGGCTCCTCCAGGTGGCGCTCAACACATGAAAGAGGGAAATGTGAACATAAGTTAACTAGCCTAAGAAAAATAGGTTTTTAATGGGATGGCGGACAGTGGTGTGAGTAAAATAATAGATGCCCCAGCCATGTTTAAGTCCAAAGTCTGGACACACCTCAGCTTTTATACCATTGATGGGACAAACAAATTCGACAAAGAGTATGCGATATGCAAGAGCTGATCTATTTGCATGTGCTTTAAAGCCTTGCCGGTTAAACATTTCATTTGCGTGCTGTTCTTTTGACATACACTTTTTCTGAGAGCGTACACCTAAAGTGCGCGCACACTGAAAAGCCTGTCAAACAGCACCTGATTACTGGACTAAGGTATCTTTCACATCTGATTGTGCTAATACTGTCGAAAACACACAAGGTTTACATATAAACACAGTTGGTTATGTCTAAAGTGAAAGTAAACAGTTGAGAGAAAAACGGATGTGTGCCTGTATAATAGACATGCTGCCGCTTGTCATTAAAGGGGTAGTTCACATAAAAATTTGAATTCAATTCACTCACTCTCTGTTATTCCAAACCTGTATTAATTTATTTCTTGTGCTGAACGCAAAAGAAGATATTTTGGGTAACCAAACATTTGCTGGTCCCCATTAACTTTGATAGAAGGAAAAAAAAAATACTATGGAAGTCACTTGGGACCAGCAACTGTTTGGTTACCCACATTATTTAAAATAACTTTTATGTTCAACAGAAGAAAGAAATTCATTCAGGTTTAAAACAACTTGAGAGTGAGTAAATGATGACAGAATTTTCATTTTTGCAGAATTGTCAGCAGTTTGGAGTTGAATGAAGAGAGGGAACCTGCACTTAACCTTTTCACAGGCATTTTGTTTTCATATTTTGACAGATATCATGATGCATCATTATAGGATTGTCTAGCAATAAATCAATTATCTCAGAATTGCTGTATCGTGTATCGTATCGTGAGGTACCCTGTGATTCCCACCCCTAGTTTAAAAAAGTCCAGCACATTAGTGCAGTGCAGAATAGACATGTAAACACCTTAATCACATTGTTACCGTTGTGTAGGACTTTTCACCACATTTTGCGACCGGATACACACACGGCAGTGGTCAACAGTTTGACGTCAAATAAAAGAGCTTCAACACCGCCATCGTCTCCATGCACGTACAAATAATTAACTGCATTTGAAGCTTTCATAAAATTAAAAATGAAACACCCAAAACTGTACATGGCATCATCACGAAGACAAACTATATGTTTATGCATGAAATTCCGAAGGGGACGTCGGATGGCGTCACGTGGGGCGTAATGACGTGTGCCATTAATCAAACTATGTACTATAACATGTAAAACGGGAACATGAAAGGAATATTCTAAAAGCCACTCATGTAAACACCATAATCATAATATTGGCTTATTTAGAATAAGGTAAATAATTAGATTACTGATGTCCATGTAAACGTAGTCATTGTGGGGTTGTCATAGTAACAGATTTGTGCTGTAATACCTCTAATTATTAATTATTATCAAATGGTCTGTAGGTGGGCTGAGTTCATTAAATTAATTGTTTGTTCTCATTATTGTATCTGTTCTCATTCCTTGCGTATTTCTGGAGTCTGATATACAGTGATAACTTTTTTGACAAATATCCAATGAATTTAGTCAGTATTTCATAATTTCATACACAAAATGTGTTCACATTTTTACTCAGTAAAATGGCATCTAATTTGTATTTACTTAGTGCAACTTATAACATCCAAGTGAAAGATGTAACACCAGTATGTCAGAAAAAAAAAAAAAACAGAATCACTGAATTGGAAAAAGGATAACCTCCCTTCTAAAAATGACTTGTAAACTCAATTAGGTGTAGCTAATCACCTTCTCAGTGGCACACAAAGCCATTTGGCTTTCAACTGTGATCAGCTGTGGTCATTTTGATTATCTCCGCATTAAAAGAGCTTTCCTGGAGCGTCTCAGTCCTTGGTAGTGCAACTGAAGCAAACAATCAGCTATGGTTGGCAAGGCACTGTCAAAAGATCTCCGGGATGAAGTTGTGGACAAGCACAAGTCAGGAGATGGATACAAAAAAATTTCAAAGTCTTTATCAATGCCTAGAAGCACAGTGAAGTCTGTTATTAAGAAGTGGGCTACACCTCAGGAAAGACCACATGCAGTCAGATATGCAGGCAGATGAGACTAAAATGGAATTATTTGGCCTCAACACCAAACGATATGTCTGGATGAAATCCAATACAGCTCACCATCCAAATAACAGCATTCGATAAAGCATGGAGGTGGTAAAATCCTGTTATGGGGGTGTTTCTCTGCAGCAAGGACTGGAGCACTTGTCAGGATAGAAGGAAAAATGGATGGGGCAAAATACAGTCAAACTCTTGAGGAAAATCTGCTGCCCTCTGCCAGAAAGTTGTCAATAGTAAGAAGGTTTACCCTCCAACATGACAATGACCCAAAGCACACAGCAAAACTGAGCACACAGTGGTTGAATGAGAAAAAGATGAATATTCTTGCATGGCCTAGTCAGAGCTCAGACTGAAACCCCATTGAAAATCTGTGGAATGACTTGAAGACTGCAGACCACAAACGGTCACCATCAAATTGAACTGAACTTGAGCGGTTCTGCAAAGACGAGTGGGCAAATATTGCAAATTCTAGATGTGCAAAGTTAGTAGAGACAGAGACATATGCTAACAGACTAAAGACGTAAAGCAGGAGGTGGTAATATCCTGTTATGGGGGTGTTTCTCTGCAGCAGGGACTGTAGCACTTGTCAGGATAGAAGGGAAAATGGATGGGGCAAAATACCATCACATTTTTTAGGAAAATCTGCTGTCCTCTGCCAGAAAGTCATCAATGAGAAGAAGGTTTACTTTCAAACATGACAATGACCCAAAGCACACAGCAAAACTGACCACACAGTGGTTGAAGGAGAAAAAGGTGAATGTACTTGCATGGCCTAGTCAGAGCCCAAACTTAAACCCCACTGAAAATATGTGGAATGACTTGCAGAATTTAACTGAACTTGAGCAGTTCTGCAAAAAAGAGTGGGCAAATATTGTCTAGATGTGCAAAATTAGTAGGGACATATTCCAACAGACTAAAGACTGTAATTAAAGCAAAAGGTGGTTCAACAAAATACTGACACAAGGAAGTTATCCTTTTTTTCTTCTGACATGTTGGTGTTCTATCTTTCACTTGGATGTTATAAATTGCACTGAGTAAATACAGCTGGATAAAACAAAAACTCTGTCCATCTTCATTTCAGGCTGCAAAGCATCAAAATTTTATTCTTTTAAAGGGGGTTGATTCTTTTCTCTCTGTGTGTGTGTGTGTGTGTGTGTGTGTGTGTATATATATATAACTTGTCAACTGTATGTTTTTATTCAAAATCTAATACTATCTTAAAGTCTATACTTATCATGATACAAACTGTTCATCTCACTTTCATCAGTGGTAAAACCAACAATCCTTTGATAACATTTTCTTCAATAATTTCGTTGGTGAGATTAACACTGTCTGACATGTAGGATTGACAAGACAGCAGTGTAATTTATTTGCTTCAATTTCAGATTCCTATCTGCTCAAGCTCTACGACAGTGCTCTGAGATTCCACCCTAAGCGCACTGGAAAGCCCAGACAAGGATTGGAGGATTTGCAGATTTGTAATACTGTTCTGGCATTATGAACGCTCATAAATATTTAATCTTGTGGAATTTCCTCAATCCCGCATTTTGATGGTTTTATCTGTTTACTGACAAAGAAAAGCTTCAGATGCCAGTGTTACATCTGCATGTGCAAGGGAGGTTTGTTTGCTTTAGAATACAGTCACAATCCTTCCAACCAACTAATGCCCTGATTATATGCCAGGGGACAGTGCTTTGACCTTTAACATTGTCTGTTTAATGTTTAATAATACTTAGTGAGTGTTTGATGTCTATATTTATCAAGCTTGTTCTTTACATTAAGTAGGAGTGGAGCTACTTATTTTATAGCCCAGAAGACCGAATAACTCACATGTATATTAGTCATCAGATTCAACTCTGTATCTTTGTGAAGCATGAAAATATACCATCTTAGATGCCTCGGGGAGCTGCCACTGCAGCAGAAAGTACGTGAGGCACAGCGCTGCATTGTGAATGGCTGACGTAATTAACAACCGCACAGCGACCAATCCGTCGAGACGACCGCAACAGTGAGGCGGAATCTTATCGGCTTATTCCGCAACGATGACATCATGCATAACCAGTTCCCCAAATCCAGGTTCACCATGGGGGATGCAGCCCCCCTGAGTGCTTCTTGTGAAGTTTAGCCATTCTGTTCTCCAGTAGTGTAGGGAGATGCCCTGGGGCGTTTTGGACCGTACCGCTCCGTGAGGAGTTGCTGTGTTCACTTATTATGTATGTGTGAAGCCATGCAGATGGAGGGTGGGAGATCTACGCCAATGCTGTCTGTACAGTATAAAAACCATTACGCCTATGGAGAGTCCCCATAAACCATAAAAACAAACCTGTGTGTGTGTGTACAGGGAAGTACTAAAATGCTCTCTCTCAGCAAATAAATAAAAATCCCTTGTTTTCTCCTCCATGCACAGTATCTCCACAGAACACTCTCCAAAGCTGCAGATCCGGAGTCACAGCTACTTGCGGGCGGTGAGTGAAGTTTCCATCAATAGAAGCATGGACACCCTGGACCCCAAAGCTCTGCTAGCCTCTCCCCAATACCGCTCACGCAACGAGAGCTACATGAGGGAAATTGAAGGGGGTCTGAATACTTTCCGTACCCACTGTATACTGTATGTCTAACCAAGTAATATGCAACATGTTTCATAGAACAGGGATGGCATTCATCAGACAGTTACTCATCCGTCTTAGGCACACTTAGTCCCCAAGCACTGATTTGTCATCCTAATTACAAAATGGCAAGCATTACATCATTGTCATTTGGCGCCAACATTGACTCTGAAATGGCATGTGCTATCTGATGGAAGACCAAAAAACTAAATATGCAAGGAATGTACTGAATTATTAGCATTTAAAATGCTTTAGACCTTCCTATATAGACTTTGCAGATGGCACAAGACTCTTAATTTCACAGTTAGTAAATAAGAATATGCCCATCTAGCTCTCATGGGTGATTGGGACAGAGTTTCAAACTGTAGACCTTGTCCAAAACACCCACCCTTTCTACAAGCCTCATCTTTCCACACTTCTACCTTATCAAGTCTTCATTAACCCCCTGTTCTCGTCCACCCTCGGTTTCTGTTATGAACAACTCTAATAAGCATGTTGATCCTGGCACTGTCTCACTGTTTTCCACCGTGTCAATAAACTCCACTTGAGGAGTTCCTCCCTGCTGGTGTGGCATGCATCTTCATTTACCCTGTAAAGCTGTCCTTCAAGCCTCACTGTGTTTCTTTTTTTGACTCTTCCTCCTCTTGCCACTGCCTTGTGTGTTTCTTACCTGCTCCTAATGACATCTCTGCAGTCTCTGGCTCTGTTTTTTCCCTTTCTTTTGATTCTGCACCACTATATAGAGTACCCCATGGTAAGTGGGTCTTGAAGCTCATTGGACGGACGGTACCCGCTCTTTTCCCTAAGCTCTGGCCTGTCTGTTTCTCCTGACTGTTCTTTTCTAATTTTCATGTCTTGTATTTTCTCTCTCTGTATCTCTCCTCTGTCTGCAGGTGAGTGAGGTTGAGGTTAACGGGCAGCTCGAGGCAGTGTGTGAGAGTGTGTTCAGTGAAATGGAGTCACAGGCAGTGGACGCCCTGGACCTTCCCATGCCCGGGTGCTTCCGCATGAGGAGTCACAGTTACGTGCGTGCCATCGACCAGGGCTGCTCGCAGGACGACGACGGGCCTTTGCTCCCGGCTTCCCCCCCGAGGACCACCACTACTGTCAGAACCATCCAGAGCAGCACAGGTCAGCCTGCAAATACATTATATATCTGTCTATTGGTCTGTCTATCTCTCTCTCTCTCTCTCTCTCTCTCTC